ATTTTTCTGGTTTTGCACGACGTCGGTTCCCCTAGTGCTTATCGAAATTACGCACGTACAGCCCTGAGAATTGCACCACTGAGCGCGCCATGATCGACTGCAGGGAATAGACATCTAGGTTTCCAAAACGAATTTTCAAATCTCACAATCGTCGAAAAAAACAACGCCAGGTCACCCCACTGGGAGCCGGCGGCAAGCCGTCAACCTTGGTTTTTGCTTCGCGCAGAGCCACAGGCCTGAGTTCAGGCCCGCTCGAGTCAAAGCCTAACGCAGAAGGGGGGCAGCAGGCCAAGCGCCTGCAGGACCGCCACCACACCTTTGAGTAAGTGCTTTGCAGCAAGAAGTTCAGCCTGGGTCACTGTACACGAGGGCGGGAGACAGAGAGCTTCAGAGGCGACATCGCACCACCAGTAGCCACTCGGGGAGGCGGAGCCGCCAAGATTATTAAGATGATTAAGAGGAGAGGGAAGCGATGGGAGAATGTACAGATCGAGGACCCAGCCGCCGCCGCAACCCTCAGAGGAGCGGCCTCCGTCGAAGAAGCCCCTCACACCGAGCACGCTCGAAGCATTCATTGTACATAACCTGTCATCGATTGTCAAGTGGTCCTGGCCCCTCCGAGCCATTCAAGTCTGTTATTCAGCTCTCGTGTTCCCTTCCCGATAAATCCATTTCATCATACCACGTCCCCGTGAGGGGGCCCGAATGTGCATGGGCATCTCCACAGACATAGCATAAAGTAGGTCCTGAATAGCAGAAAACGTTGTCGAGTACACGTCAGTAGTACATCTAATTAGACCGTTAATCCAGTTACAGATCACCAGAGAGCCCCCCGAGATTTCAATAGGCAAACCCTTGGACCCAAAGCTCCCACCAAGACTGGCGTTGTTCGTTCAGAGCAATACGTTTTGTAGCCTTCTCCTTTCCCGCCTCCTCCTTCTTACGCTTCTCCTCCACCGTAAGGTCCTCCGTTTCCATCCTGTAGGGCCCTTTGGGATCTCTGAGGACACAGCATTGGAGCACGTGCGGTAGATCCCAAATACCCAGCAGTGCACGGACAAAATATATCCACCCGTCCTCGTCCCAGGTCAAGTTAGCATACCAATAGGCACATCCCACCGTCTCGAACGGTAGCGACCACGGATGGAAGCCTGCAGGACGGCCGCCCCCGCGGCGCCTGGTGAGCACACGGGCTTCCTTCGAGTCGAGAGTGCGAATGAAGGCACCCCTCTCTTCGGTCCAAGGCGACACAGCATGCAGCATGCACAAGCGAAGAGAGGGAGTGAGGATGGCACGTGTCTGGCCCCAGATCACCCGTACCCGTCGCCGTTTGTAAGCAGCGTTACCGTAGGAGCTGTCCAAGGGGAAATAAGGGCTCTGTGGAGGCTGTTGCGAGGCCACGGGGGGGTCGGTACGTCGGTATACATGACTGCAATGCGGGCGCGGCAATCTCGCATTCCGCGCGCGCGAGGACGCGGCTTCATGGAGGGGGACGCGGAGGAGAAGAAGGAGTGAGGAGGCGAAGGGGATGGAGGGGGAAGGGTGGAGAGGGAGAAGAGGGACGATGATGATGATGATGATGAAGGGGGGGGAGATGAGGAGAATGAGGAACAGAAGGAGCAGGAGGAGAGAGAGGAGAAGGAGCAGATGAGGAAGGCAGAGGAGGAGGAGAAAAAAGAGGAGAAAGAGGACGAGGAGCAGGAGTACGAATAGTTTGTTGGGTTCCAGCTCTGGTAGCAGGCCGCCTTGAAACATGTAGATAATTGCAACGAGCGCTCCTGATGATCGTCGTCCAACTGTTGTGCCGCACAGCTCTCATATGATCGCAGCTCGCTACTTCAAGACAGGCATCGTCATCTCCGAAGAAATTGCTCAGAATACGAATAGATGTTTGGTTCCACCTCTGGAAGCAGACCTAGTTCGGCCACGTAGAGACTCCAGACTAGGGCGCCTGATGATTACCTTTCGATTGCTGTATCGAACATCTCTCCAGCTCATCTGCAGCTCGAGTTATCTCAAGAAAGGCAGCACCTCCTAAAAATTAGCAGAGGGCAAATAATGGTTCGAGCCCAGCGCTGGTAGCAGACCGAGTTCAGGCATCTAGATACTCGAGACTTGCGCTTCTAATGGTCCTCTTCCGATTGCTGTGCAGAATAGCTCTGTAGCTCATCTTCAGCTCGAGTTGCATCAAGGATCATCATCATCATCAAAAAAGTAGAGTACGAATAGCGTTTCGGACCTAGCTCTGGTAGCAGAACGAGTTCGGGCATCTAGATTGAATCCAAATACATGAGACTAGCGCGTCTGATTATTTCCTTCCAGTTGCTGTCCGGAACAGCTCTGTAGCTCACCTGAAGCTCGTGTTACATCGAGAAACTCATCATCTCTAAAGAAAAACAGATTGCGAATAGTGTTTCGGGCCCAGCCCTGGTCGCAGACAGAGTTCGGGCACCTGGACACTTGAGACTAGCGCTTCTGATGATTATCTTTCGATTGCTGTGCCGAATAACTCTGTAGTTCATCTGATGCTCGAGTCAGGTCAAGACAATCATCATCACGTCTACAATGATAGCAGAGTACACATAGTTTTGGAGACCCAGCTCTGGTAGCAGACCGAGTTCGGACTTCTAGCTACTTGAGACTAACCCGCCTGCTGATTCTAGAAGCATTAGCTGTGCCTGCCAGCTCTGTAGCTCCCCTACAGCTGGAGCTAGGTTCCGAAAACCGACAGCACCAATCAAGATGGCACTCAACAGCCGATCCCGCCCACATGCTTTTTCGCTGTCATATGTACCCGATCGACCTGAGATTAAGATGGTGAGCGGGAATAATATCGAATATGAAGAAAAAGCATACTAGAATTCTCACGAATGTTCAAAATTGGAGCCGGCGGTAAGCCGTCAACCTTGGTTTTTTTGGGTTTGCGCGGGCTCCAGGGCGCTGTCCGCAGCGCCGCCCGACTGGGCGCCTAGCGAGCCTAGCAGGTCTAAGCGGAGGCCGCGTGTGAGCGCCTCGGCGGCAGCCAGTTCACAATATGCGATCGTGGAGTGCGGTGGTAAAAGAAAGGCACTGGAGGCGATGTCCCTCCAAACGAGGGCATCACGTGGCTCGCTCCCTGGGGTCCTCCTGCGGGCAATCTGACGAGAGCCGAATGGAGAGGGAGTGGTGTGGTTGGTCGGACCCCACTGACTGCAATCCAAGAAGCCTTTCTGCAGCCAAAAACCGCATCCGCAACCGTTGCCGTCCACTCCCCCATCCTATGCCCCACGATAGGCGACGTGTATAAGATATTGTGACTCAATCGGACTGCATGCAACCTGATTGGAGTGGAATGCGCGGCCCTCTCGGGCCAGGTGGGTGGGCTCGTCGGCCCTAGTGTTATCTTCCGTGTACTCATGTCGATAGATGTCCCGTCCTATGTTCGCCGCGCGGATGTTCGCACGGCAGCTCAGCTCGTATACGGTCTCCACACACTCCGCAACTCTGTCGGCATAACCCTGATTATGGCACCTCCACCTCCCTTGGAGCCACGATGAGACCAGTAATGAGTCAACCTTGGTCACCGCCGGGAACTCGTAGAGCTTCCTCGCGGGATGCGGGCGCGGCAATCTCGCATTCCGCGCGCGCGAGGGCGCGGTTTCATGAAGGAGGACGTGGAGGAGAAGAAGGTGGGGGGAGGAGAAGGAGACGCAGGAGGCCGAGGAGGAGAAGGAGGAGGAGAAAAAGGAGCAGGCGGAGGAGAAGGAGGGGAGGAGGAAGAGCAGAATGACTAGCATGAGAAGGAAGGGTGGAGAGGGAGAAGAGGGACGATGATGATGATGATGAGAGGGACGAAAAGAAGAAGGAGGAAGAGTAGGAGCTGGAAGAGAAAGAGAAGAAGGAGCAGATGAAGAAAAAAAGAACAGAAGGAGAAGGAGGGGGAGGAAGAGGACGAGAAGGAGGAGTACGAACAGTTTGTTGGTTCCAGCTCTGGTAGCAGACCGACTTCAAACATGTAGACACTTGCAAGGAGCGCTCCTCATGATATTCGTCCAATTGCTGTGCGGATTAGCTCTAATCTCATCTGCATCTCGAGCTACATCAAGAAAGGCATCGTGATCTCTGGAAACAATACGAGAGTACGAATAGTTGCTTTACATCGAACTCTGGAAGCAGACCGCGCGACTAAGGCTTATGGTGAAGCCCTTCAGATTGCTGTGCCTAACAGTTCGGAAGCTCGTCTCAGCCCGAGCTATCTCAAGAAAGTCATCATAAGCTCTCCAAAGAAGTTAGCAGAGTACAAGTGGGAGTTTCGAACCCAGCTCTGGTAGCAGACCGAATTCGGGCATCTAAATGCTCGAGACTAGCGCTTCTGAGGATTTACTTTCGATGTCTCTGCCAAACAGCAGCTCTGTAGCTTAGTTGCAGCTCGAGCTACAGCACTAAACTCCTCATCCTCACACCAAAATAGCAGTGTGCGAAAAGATTTTCGGACCTAGCTCTGGTAGCAGACCGAGTTCGGGAAACTTATCATCCTCTCCAAAAAATGCAGAGTACGAATAGTGCGCTGGACCCAGCTCTGGTAGCAGACCGAGTTCGGACTTCTAGATACTTGAGACTGGCGCGCCTGCTGATTCTACGTAGATTAGATGTGCCCGGCACCTCTGTAGCTCTTCTACAGCTCGAGTTCAGCACAGAAAACTCACAGCACCTGCCAAGATGACACTAAACAGCCGATTCCGCCCACATGCATAATCGCAGCATCATGCGCCCGATCAACCTGAGATTGAGATGGTCAGGGTGAAAGAATAGAGCTCCAACGAACTGGTAAATCTCGAGAAAACGAAATTTTACCAAGCAAAATTATGCAAAACTTCCGTCGATACATTTTTGACAACTAGCCCTCCCAGCGCGCAGGATTTACTCTCTAGCTTCGCCGCTTCCCTCAGGGGAGCTGTACGAGTCATTTCGAGAAATTCAATTGGAATAGTTCTTTTATATATATACGTTAAAAAACTTCCGTCGAGATTTTGTGTGCCAACTAGCTCCCTAGCGCGCCGGGATTATTCGCCGCTCCGCTCTTAGGGAAGCTCTACGAGTCATTGTCCGTCCGCGCCCGCTCCGCCAACTAGCTCCACCTCGCGCCGGAATTTCTCTGGCTTATCGATGCCGAGCAGCTCTACGAGGTACTAGCTCCACCCCGCGCCGGCATTCCTCTAGCTAATCGAAGCCGAAAAGCCCCACGAGGTACTGGGAGCCCGCGGTAAACCGTCAATCATTTGTTCTTTCCGGTTTGCGGTCTCGCCACTCAGGCCCTCATGGGGCAGCGAGCGGGCTCACAATAAGCCAAGAAAAATTGCGACACTCGTTGAGCTGTACAAGAGTACAAAACAAGGACGCGGGCAAGGACCTACTTCGAGGCATCAAGAATGACACGCGCCGAGCCAGTGTGGCTTAGGCATGTCGAAATCGAACACCTGCGGCCCCACTAACAGGGGCCCCGTCACGCAGTCACGCAACGTCAAGCACTTCAAGCGAGCAGGAGCACCGATCACCACATGCATGAATTGAGCAGAGTGCAGACACACGAAGTATGCAGGCCCACATGGGGCAGCGAGCAGGCTCCAATGAGCCAAGAAAAGAAAACGACGATCTCATACAAGCGACCTGCTTTGAGGCAACTACACTGTCGATCAGGGCAACGAGTAACCTCCTTTGAGGCACCAAGTAACAAGCCAAACGGAAGAATGGCACTGCAAACAAGTCCGAGTCTTCTAGGGAATGCGCGTGAATTTGAAAAAATATTCACAACAGGCCGCTATACACACCTCACGTCGCCGCTACAAATGAAGCGAAGAGCAACGAGAGAGAGAGCACCACAGACCAACAATCAATCACAACATGCATGTATTCAACGATTCACAAGTCAAGACCAACTTAGAGGCACCAAGTGACAAGTCACAATGGTTCAACAGGAAAAATAACAATGTTTCACGTTACAAGTAACAAGATCTTCACAGACAAAGATAAACCTGTCACACCGACACAGACGACCGCGGATCCAGGACAAACGCCTCCTCCGCGATCGACCACAGAGCACGCGACACTTCCCCTCCACAAGAGTTCCAATGTCGAAAGTTGAAACCGGTAACACGTGGCAAAGACAACCGAACACACTATATACACGTACAAAACTGAGCAGATTACAACACATCATGAGGCCACACCATCGAAACCAACGGTGGCCCACAACACCGGCGTGTGCAATCTGCGAAATCACAGTGTGCAAGGAACTACCGATCCAACGCCGTGATGATCAATAACCACTTCATGTCTTCAGCTTCACAAGGTGAATAATAACCCTTCAATGATAAATAACCTCTCCATGCGGTGGCCAATAACTTCTCAATGGTCAGTACCCTCTCAATATCTACGACTTCCACAGAAAAATACAATATCAGCGTGCCCAACACGAAACACCTTGTACAGTATGTGGAACCACAGACTCCTGTCTCGAGCCAGGGACCCTTGACCCAGTGTTCTCTTCATCGTCTGCCAGGCACGAGTCAGCATGTGGTAAATACAAGCTTATAACGGCAACACCAATGAAAAAAGCAATGACAAACCTCCTCCCTTCCACTGTCTTATGCAGCACTCGAACTTCCTCCCTGTTTAAACTCCGTAAACTGTGTTTGCAACACTGACATCTTCACCTCTGCCTCATCCTGCCACCTCTGAATAGTCTCAACATCATTTTGAAGACATTTAACCTTCCGCTCCATCTTTCTCGTACTCTTTCCAATCGCTTTGTTCATGTTGAACCCCTGTCGTTGCCAATTTGCTGGGTCGAACTGCTCCCCGTCCGACTCAGTTGTCGGGTCGTTCTCCAGTTCAGCGTCTCCCCTGGAAGCGTCCGTTCCATCATCTCCCTCTCTCCGACGACGACGACCCTTCTGTTCTGGCAACGACGCTGCGGGGTCACTGGACACTGCTGGCAACGCCATAGTATCCACTGAGATCGATGAGCTTCCTCCTCCTCGATTCTCCACATCTTCGTTATCCTTCTCAACCTCCGACATTTTAACATCAGCTGCCGTCTTAACAGTGTCTCGCCTGTTGAGTCTCGCTAGCAGTTTAACAGCTCCATCGGCAATAACATGCGAACTCTCCTTGTGTCTCCGCCTCGATATGGGTCTCAGCCTCGCTTCAAGGGGCATCTCATAGCAAGCCACTGGAGACCGATCATCAAACAGGATTCGCCCAGATGAAGATCACTCAACATGGAACTCAGAAGCCTCATGATCAACACTGGACCCTGATAACAAGATGCCTCGTCTGCCCCACGGGCTCCCCAAGGGCAGCATCCTGCCCCGACCTGCTATCATGCGAACTATCATGCCCAACATTCTCCTCAACCACCTCCTCAACATCATCGCGCACAGCAGTATCCTGCGAAATATCATTGGCCATCGAAGAAGAACGAACAGAAGCAATATCGTGCGAACCGTCCTGTGGGCTGGCGGCAGAATGTTTAGCGCTTACAACAACGACCGGCGCAGGGCGGTCCAAGTGAGAGAAGTCAATCGCAACTTGGCGGTACGCCACCAGTTTCAGACGTCTCATTTTTCGCTTCCACGATGTCGAAGGTTTACCTGGACAATCATGAAAATTGCATAAATTGAGCAGAGTACAACACATCATAAGGCCACACCATCGAAACCAATGGGGGCCCACAACACCAGTGTGTACAATCATCGAAATCACTGTGTACAGTATGTGGAACCAAAGACTCCTTACTGCACTGTCAATCAGGTTTTTGTTTGCGGTGTTTGCGGTCGACTGCGCAAGCTTCCCAGCCTAGTCGATAGCAAGGCAGCGGACGCATCGGGAGCAGGCGAAGCCCCACCGATCCAAACGATGAGGAAGGCGGAAGCCTAAGCTCTTATGAGTGTGTGAAGTCAAGCACGCACGCACGACACGCACAAGCACGGCATGAGCGAGCAACAATCACTTCATCACATCAACTCAAATCCGAAATACGCTTGAACAACCCGCGGTATGACAAGAGGCCTATGCTCAACGTCAAATGTGAAGTAAGTAACGAATTGAACGGGAAACAACCCGTGGAAGAACGTCACCTGAAGAATGTGGGGGCCCCTGCCCCATACGCACCTGAAGCACTTAGCGGGGCCCACAGCGGGCCGTAGAGCCATCATGGCTCGAGCGAGAGATCAAACTGAGAGATGAAGTGAGAAATGAGAAAACAGATGAGATACAAGTACTACTGCCTCCGCGGTTCTAAGCCGAAAGTTGCATACACGTGCGTACGACCTGCTCCGTCAAACTCCTGTCCTCGTATGTTGGCGCCTTTAGAGCTCTTGGCAGGCGTGGCGCTGCTAGGATACCGTTTGCCTTTGCCTCTGCCTTTGCGGTTACCTCTAGAGCTATCACCGCTATCGGGAAAAACTCGAATGCTTTGGGAAGATTGGGGAACCGACTTTTGATGTCCAGTCTTGGCTGTCACATCCGAAGCGACACGGACAGACGACGACCCCGACGGAGAGGCAACTGCACTGTGCCGTGAAACAGATGAACATCTAGACCGTTGAATCCTATAAATGTCGCCCATTGTATCCTCGATGCAACCTCGCCAGGAATCTCGAGTAGCACAATGGCGCATCCACGACGTACCACGAGCCTCCATCTCTCCGATGAATGTCGTCCAGGGTCACTGCGATGCGTTCTATCTGTTTAAGTGCATCCTCGATGTTGCCCGCCATGCTATTTAAAACCAATGGAAGATGTTCGTGGAGATCAGATATCGCAAAGGAAGAATATACTGTGAGCTTGAAAGCCATGTCGCATACAAACTTGAATGTACGATCCAGACTACCGTTGTGCATACCCCTCGCCAGATTCTCTGTTTGCACACAGGCGTCCTGCACGCTGGCGGCAGCGGAACTCCCAAATGTTGGACTCCCAACTGCACTGTCATAAGAATGGGTCTGGCACAAAGTGAAACCAACTGCTGAAATTCCAAATGTTGAACTCCCAACTACTCTTTAACTCGCAACTGCGCTCTCGTAGAAGTGGGCATGACACAGAGTCGGGGGGGTCTCCGTTTGCACATCGACACACACAGTCCGGCAAGAAGAAGACAAAGTCTGCACTCCCACTTCCATCTCCCCTCTGCAGTCTCCCTCCAATCCAGGCGGAGCAGCCAATTATCTCAGAAGACGCGTATACGGATCGGTTCTGGCAGCAACGAGTCAAAGCAAACGGGAATACATGACGGCTTGCAGAAGTCCAGATAAACTCGAGATCTCCGTGCAACTCGCCTGTGACAACTGCGAACATGTGGCATGATTCGTCAACGAGAAACAAGAATCAAATTCAGGAATTAGTCACACACACAGCGAATCTCCACGCTAGGCGAAGGCACAATACAAATTGCCACAACCACACCGCAACAAGAAATGCATATGAGAGGCCAACAATGAGAGGCAAGATGTACAGGGAGATGGGCAGTTGCGTAAGCAGAGCAAACCAGCACGCTGGCTCAACGTTCACCTTTGCGGAGGTCCACCTGGCAGAGAAAATTAACGCACGCGGAGCTTGAGACGGAGATCTTGAGCCGGGACTCTCGTAGAGCTCTGACCACGCAGATAAGCACCCAGATAACAAGGAAAGACCGTTTTGGAGTATGAGCTTCAAATGTGACACAATATCATATTTTTCAGGGGGGGGTGCGCGACGTCGGCCCCCCCCAGTCTTTTGACCGAAATACTGCACCTACAACTCTGAGGAATGCACCATTTTGCACCATTCAACGCGACATGATCCACTGGGAGCCGGAACTCGTTGAGACCCCTCGCGCAATGTGGGCGCGGCAATCTCGCATTCTGCGCGCGCGCGCGAGAGCAAAGAAGATCCAAAGAAGGAGGAAAAGAAGGAGAAGGAAGAGAAGAAGCAGCAGGTGCAGAAGGGAGAGGAGGAGGAGAAAGAGAAGGAAGAGGACGGGGAGCAGAACTACACAGTTTTTTCTTCCAGCTCTCTTAGCACACCGATTTCAAACAACTAGATACTTGTAACGAGCGCTCCTGATGATCGTCGTCCAATTGCTGTGCCGACTGGCTCTAGTCTCATGCGCACTCGAGCTACATCAAGAAAGGCATCGTTACCTCTGTAAAATTAGTGGAGTACCAACAGTTCGTGTGGTTCCGACTCTGGAAACAGACCCAGTACTGGCATCTATATACTCCAGACTAGCGCGGCTCATGACTTTCTCCGATTGATGCGCCGAAGAACTCTCTAGCTCATCTGCAGCTCGAATTATCTCAAGAAAAGGACCATCACTTCTGTGAAAATTAACCGAATACGGATAGTTCGTTGAGCCCCGCTGTGGTAGCATACCGAGTTTCGGCATCTAGATACTTTGGACTAGCGCGTCTGGTGAGTTCCATTACAACACGAGTTAATTACAGAATACCTCGCTGGAAAGAGAACTTGAGAATTACAAATAGTGTCCTGGACCAAGCTCGAATAGCAAACCGAGTTCAGGCCTTGAAATGCAACAGACGGACGCACCTGATGACACAAAACCAGTTTGTGTGAGTCTCAGCTCTGTAGCTCCTCAGAATCTTGAGTTAAGTACAGAAAGCGAATGTCACTGATCAAAATAACTCGAAAAATACAAAAAGTTTTACAAACCTAGCTTGAGTAGCAGACCGAGTTCAGACCTCTCGATACAAAGACGAACGCGCCTGATGATCCTGAATCGGTTTCTGTGTATCAGCTCTGAAAACTACGAAATCTCGAAATAAGTACAGAAAACCACACTGGGCGCCGGCGGTAAACCGTCAACCTTCCTTACCGCCGGGGGACTCGTAGAGCTTCCTGAGCATATATAATGTCGAAAAAAATTGCAGAGAACGAATAGTTTTTCAGCCTAAACGATTTCAGACCTCTCGATGCGCCCCTCATGCTTCTGGATCGTTTTCTGTGCGCACGAGCTCCGTAGCTCTCCTACAGCCCGAGTTATGTGCGAAAATCGACAGCAACTCTCAAGATCACTCCAACAATACAAATAGTTTCGCGAATCTAGCTCGAATATCAGGCCGAGTTCAGACATCTGAGTGCAACAGGCGGACGCGCCTGATGTCTCCGAATCGATTCCTGATATTACCAGCTCTGCAGCCCCCTTACAGCCCGAGTTAAGTGCAGAAAATCGACAGCACCTCTGAAGATGACTCGAACAATACGAATGGTTTCGCGGACCTAGCTCGGGCAGCAGGCCGAGTTCAGTGCTCTGAATGCGACAGGTGGACGCGACTGATGTCTTCGAATCGATTCCAGTGATTACCAGCCCTGCAGCTCCCTTACAGCTCGAGTTAAGTGCAGAAAACGGACAGCACCTCTCAAGATGACTCGACGAATACGAATAGCTTTGCGAATCTAGCTCGGGCAGCACACTGAGTTCCGAGCTCTGGATTCGGCAGGCGGACGCGCCTGATGTCTCCGAATCGATTCCTGTGAGTACGAGCCGTGTAGCCCCCCTACAGCCCGAGTTAAGTGCAGAAAACTGTCAGCACCTCTCAAGATGACTCCAACAACACGAAGAGCTTCGCGAACCTAGCTCGGGCAGCAGACCGAGTTCAGACCTCTAGATGGAACAGACGAACGCGCCTGATGATTCGCAATCGATGTCTGTGAGAATGAGCTCTGTAGCTGCCCTACAGCTCGAGTTAAGACAAAATACCGACAACGCGTACCAAGATGACTCGAAACAGCCGATCCCGCCGCGATGCTTTTTTGCAGAAATATGTACCCGATCGAGCTGAGATTGAGAGAGCGAGAAGGAAATAAGATCGAATATGGCCAGAAAAAATACTAGAGCTCAAACGAATTGTTGAATTTCGAGAACAACATTTTGAACCGACCAAAAGTCAGCAAAAGGTCCGTCGAGATTTTTCTTGCCAACTAGCTCTCCAGTGCGCCGGAATTACTCAAGCTTCCAGCAACTAGCTAAGGGAAGCTCTACGAGTTAAATGTTACCACTTTGTCCTTTCTGGCGGGTCGGCCAATAGCTTCACCCCGCGCCAGAATTCCTCTAGCTCATCGATGCCGAAGAGCTTTACGAGGTACTTCGCAGCGTCCGTCGAAAACCCGGAGAGCAAAGAGCACACACACGAGAAAGCTTCCCTGGCGCGCCCTCAAACGCTTTCAAAAGCTTTGCTGGGGCTCTGGGGGGCTCCCCTGCCGCGCTGTTGAAGCGCTACCAGGATCGCTTCCACGCGCGCCTCCACGCGTGCTCGCACGCGTGGACGCTTGCGCGAAGCTCTTCCGGACACGCTGCCGCCTCAGGCGAGGCGCTGCGAAGCTCGTGGACCGGCGGAGATGGGCTGCTGGCGGTCACCACCACCGTCCGGCTTCTAACTGGCGCCGGCGGTGAACCGTCAACCTAATCACCGCCGGGAACCTCGTAGAGCACTGGGAAGAGTGCTGAGGATGGAAGTAGACTCATAAAATGAAGATTTTTCCCAAATCTTAATTTCCATTTTTTCCGATGTTTATATTCGCTCGGTTCCTGGAAGTCAACTCAGAGAAAAATGTAGCGGGAGAGCTGAGCTGCTGTCAGAGAGGAGTTTATATGCGAATGCGACGCGCAAGAATCTGCTTCCTTAAAATGAATTGTCAAATATCTTTCAAATAATGGCAAAACTGACCAAAAGTTACCAAAGTGGGCCAACTGGGCGCCGGCGGTAAACCGTCAACCTTCCTTACCGCCGGGGGACTCGTAGAGCTTCCTGACAATATATAATGTCGGAAAAAAATCAGAGAACGAATAGTTTTTCGCTCCGAACGCCCCCGATGCTTCTGGACTGCCTTCTGTACGAGCTCTGTAGCTCTCCTACATCCCGAGTTACGTCCGTAAATCGACAGCACCTCTCAAGATGACTCGAACAAAACGAATAGTTTGGTTCAGACCTCTGAATGCGACAGGCGGACGCGTCTGATGTATCCGAATTGATTCCTGTGATTACCAGCCCTGCAGCCCCTTCTACAGCCCGAGTTGAGTGCAGAAAACCGACAGCACCTCTTAGGATGACTCGAACAATACGAATAGTTTCGTGGAGCTAGTTCGGGCAGCAGACCGAGTCCCGACCTCTGGATTCGACAGGCGGACGCGCCTGATGTCTTCAAATCGATTGCTGTCACCACCAGCACAGTGGCCCCCCTACAGCTCGAGTTAAGTGCAGAAAACCGACAGCACCTCTCAAGATGACTCGAACAATACGAATAGTTTCGCGATTCTAGATCGGGCAGCAGACCGAGTTCAGAGCTCTGGATTCAACAGACAAACGCGACTGGTGATTCCGAATCGGTTTCTGCAAGTATCAGCTCTGTAGCGGTCCTATAGCTCGAGTTAAGTGCAGAAAACCGACTAGAGCTCTAACGAATGTTTGAATTTCGAGAACAAAATTTTCAACCGACCAAAAGTCACCAAAAGGTCCGTCGAGATTTTTCTTGCCAGCTAGCTCTCCAGCGCCCCGGAATTACTGGGCGCCAGCGGTAAACCGTCAACCTTTCTTACCGCCGGGGGACTCGTAGAGCTTCCTGACAACATATAATGTCGAAAAAAATTGCAGAGAACGAATAGTTTTTCAGCCCAAGCGATTTCAAACCTCTCGATGCAACAGCCGAACGCCCCCCGATGCTTCTGGATTGTCTTCTGCACAAGCTCTGTAGCTCTCCTACAGCCCGAGTTACGTGCGCTAATCGACAGCACCTCTCAAGATGACTCGAACAAAACGAATAGTTTGGCAAACCCAGCTCGAGTATCAGGCCGAGTTCAGACCTCTGAATGCGACAGGCGGACGCGTCTGATGTCTCCGAATCGATTCCTGTGATTACCAGCCCTGCAGCCCCCCTACAGCCCGAGTTAAGTGCAGAAAGCACAGCATCTTTCAGGATGACTCGAACAATACGAACAGTTTCGCGGACCTAGTTCGGGCAGCAGACCGAGTTCCGAGCTCTGGATTCCACAGGCGGACGCGCCTGATGTCTTCAAATCGATTGCTGTCACCACCAGCACTGTAGCCCCCCTACAGCCCGAGTGAAGTGCAGAAAAGCGACAGCACCTCTCAACATGACTCGAACAATACGAACAGTTTCGCGATTCTGGATCGGACAACAGACCGAGTTCAGAGCTCTGGATACAACAGACAAACGCGACTGATGATTCTGAATCGATTTCTGTACGTACCAGCTCTGTAGCTGTCCTATAGCTCGAGTTAAGTACAGAAAACCGAGAGCGCCTCTCAAGATGACTCGACTAATACGAATAGGTTTGCGGACCTAGCTCGGCTAGCAGACCGAGTTCAGACCTCTGGATGCAACAGACGAGCGCGCCTGATCATTCTGAATCGATGAGATGTGCTTACCAGCTCTATAGTTGTCCTATATCTCGAGTTAAGTCCAATATACCGACAGCGCGTATTAAGATGACTCGAAACGGCCGATCCCGCCGCAGTGCTTTTTGGCAGTAAAAGGTAACCGATCGAGCTGAGATCAAGATGGCGAGCGGGAATAAGATCGAAGATCACGGGAAAAAATACTAGAGCTCTGACGAATGTTCAAATTTTGAGGACAAAGTTTTCAACCGACCAAAAGTCACCAAAAGGTCCGTCGAGATTTTTCTTG